CGTTTTATAGTTCTCTAATATAACGTTTTTCTGCGTTTTTCTAGCGAAAAACGAATTTTGCCCTACTTAAGCAAAAAACGGTTGTCAGCAGCCAATCATAAGCGCGTTATAAATCAAAAATTTTATAAAAAGTAATGAATAAATAAATAAATCAATGTCAAGTCAAGTAGATATTCGCGTGAGTAATCAATTCATAGAGTACAAACATTAAATGACTKTATGCAACACTTTCCACTATTTACTACAAAATAGTGTTAATCAAACAATAGAAAACAATATTAGCATAATTTAGGAGTATTTAGTGGTATTTATGTTGCACAGTTTTAGTGTTTGTATTCTAAAGTAAATGTGTTCTAATCCTTTTCAGAGATGTCGACCGCAAACCAAAGTCATCACTGAAGGTCTGTATTCAAAAATTGTAATTGTTTCATTATATACAAAATCCGTGCAACTGTACAAAACCTAAGTAGTATAAATTTGTACTAAAAGTGGACGAAGCAAGACGGTATTGAATGCTTCATTTGTATCAATTCAATTTAATTTGCGTATCGCATGTACGATTTACTAAAATCACCTAAACATCACTATTTAGTTTGTACAGTTGCACGGATTAAGTGCGATCACTCTAGGCGATGACCTTTTATGGTAATTAATATATTCTTATCAAATTCATTAATACTTGCCGTGAGCGAATCTATGCGCAAGAGACTTTAACTTTGATTTTATTAAAAAAAAATATTATCTTGAAGGTTTTAACAAAATTTGCTTTACGTTGRAATTTGATAAGCAATATAAAATATTCGCGTCCGATCTTTATGGGCCTGCTCTTGTGCTGGTGGCTTTGCAGTTTTAAATGCCCATAAAGGGCATTTAAATATTTTTTTTTATATATTACATAAAAAATCGTGCTTTGCGTCGCTGAACTTTGATTATTTACGGTTTTCTTAAAGAAATCACCATAATTTTTATCAAGATACATTCATCGTAACTGTGAGTGTATTTTCGTAATATTGACATTCACTAAAATTCTTTTATAGAATTTACATCTTACGAAGATATTGAAGATGCGTTATCAAAAGAAAAGTGTAAAGAGCTTTTCGGTACGGAGACGGCTCCAGAAGACGTAGACCTCTATCGAGAAAGAGTTAAGGTACTGATGTTAATTTACTTAATTAAAATATACTTTTTTTACCATTTTGATGGACCGAAAATATAGTCRTTTTTGGTATTTRTAAWTTTTATTCAASGTACCAACAARACAACAGAGTTGAAAAAAATGTTTCGTCGTCATATTTCGTTGGATACGTAAACAGATAAACTAAGAAATCAATGAAAATTACCAATAACAAAAATGAAGCTTTTTAGTAAGGTCTGCTCTTGTCGAGATAAAGAATTTATCAGAAAATATAGTCTATCTATCGTTGTTTTTGATATTCTTGTAGGAAAGTCAAGAACAAGAGGAAGAACCAGAAATTACCCTCAGCAGGTACAATCCCAATCTCGTACCCGGAGCCCGCACTTTTGCCATCCAGCGGATGTCAATGCGTGAGAGACTCTGSRRGAAWSMRTTWTTTCTCGATTCGTGATTGGCTGAAAATGACGCGAGCGCGCATTGTTTTCAAGTCGGTTTTCCAAGTCGCCAKCGCGCKCTCGCCYTRTTAGTCAAGAAAATCATCCTTTTCTCGCATAACCACACATKTTTTCACACATTTTTGCTTTTTTTGACTGCTTCAAACGGTTTCGAGTTTGTGACTAGTCACCAGTCCCTTTTTGAATTTCACCAACACAGGAACTCCAAGAAAACTAAAAAGCACTCTAAGGCCCGATGTCTCTTAAAGA